GTGCTCGCTCACTCCTTTGTGCTGCACGGGCTTCAGACGCACTACACTACCGTAGTACTGTACAATATCACGTGTGGCGGGCCCAGCTGCAGCAGCTGAGCGCAGCTGTGCACAGCTGACTGGCGCTGCTGCTGCGGCGGCGGTGCTGGTGGTGGGGCTGTTGTAACGCGAGAGTGAAAGGACGCTGCAGCAGCAGATACTCGCTCCCATGGCGCGGTGCAGGCGGCCCATGGACCAGGCAGCTGTCAAGGCCTGGACGCCCCTCCATCCCCCCTCCCTCCCTCCCTCGCCTCCTCGCCCTTGTCTAGCTTCCGGGGGGCTCGACTCCTCTGCTGCATGCTCTGCAGCAGCAGCAGCTGTGCGCGCCGCGCGCCCCTCCACCACCGCAACACCTTGGTGCACGGTAGCACCCCACGCGTCCGACACGCGCCAGGCCCTGCCCCCCACCCCCCTCTCCTCCTCCCGTCTCTACGGCCGTTACACCCTTTGCAACGGTAAACTCTCGTAAGGCCCGGCGCGGGGCGACAGACGCGATGACACTGTTTTTCTAGCTGTACGATGGCCCCCTCGCTGCTGCTGCGATGAGGCGGGTGTCTGCCTGCCTGTAACGCAATCGCGCGCTCGCGCCGTCGTTATGGGGCCGTCGTCGTGGTGTCTGTGGAGATAGTCTTGGTGTCGTCACGAGAATGCGTGAGCGGGAGGCCGCCGCTGGAGGTGGCTCTGGAGAGCGGAGAGCCTTACCTGCCACAAACCGTCGGTGCTGTTCAGCGCGCCTTTAACTTAATTACCTCCGACCTGCTTACCCCTAAACGTTTGGCCTTCCCAATTTTTTGTCACTGTTCACCCCACGCCCTCCGATGAACCCTCCTTGGTTTTACAGTACCCGGCTTGCCGTCCGCAGGAGGCGACACCAGGAAGTGACCGCCCGGGCCGCCTGCTTAGGGCCGCCTGCCTGCCCACTGGTCTGCTGCATGCATCCCGCTATGCGGGACTTAGGCGTCGCGACGCCTGAGCTCAGGGCGGGGCGGGGCGCGGGCCGTTAGCCAGCGACTCCCGCGTCGCGGCGCCGTCTGCGCTCGCGCGCCACCCCTCGACGACTTTGTTG